AGGTAGAAAAAAAAAAAGAAGTTAACATAAATTTGATGAACTAAATATAACCAACCAATGATTAAACGACCCGAGAGGAAAAAGGAATCAGTCAACCAATAGTTAATTTGTTCTCTTCTTTCTCTTTGCCTACTTGATTGCAACAAAGTGTCTCGATGTTGTCGTCTATAACATATATATATGAAGAAAAAAAAAAAAAAAGGAAGAGAAAAGGTAGCCAGTCAAAAAAAATAAGAAGAACAAATATATTTTCATTCGAGCAGAAAAATAGACGTAGAGAGAAAACGACCGACAAACAATTGGATTTGCTGCCGGTGAACTCTCTTATGCCAATTTTTTTCTCTCTCTCTCTTTCTTTCTTTCTTTCTTATCCTTTCCCGATCTATTTCTTATTTTTTTCCCTAGTTGTTATACGCTTGCCCGATTTTTCTTTAGTTTATATGTTTTGTTTCAATGCTTTCAGTTGTAAGCGCATAAATCGAGCGTTCATACGAAGCTAACTAACCGAATCCGTGCGAGCGCATTGTCCGCCCGCTCGCCCGTGTGTGTGATCCGAAACAAGTTCCAACTCATTGAACTGTAAGTTGTTACTAATATTCTTGATCAGAAAAAAAAAGAAGAAGAAGAAGAAGAAGAAAGAGAAGAACAAATTACATTTCTCATTTTTTCTTTTTTTGAAAAAAAAAACTAAAACATACATCTAAAGCCCTTTTTATTATTCGAAAATATACTTAAATGATTTATAAAATCATGACAAGGTATATTTTTCATATTATTAATATGTTTTTAGTTTGTTTTTTTTTTTTTTGTCTCTTCCAGTTCGTTTAATCAATGGATATTCATAATGATCTTTCAATGTCACATAAAGGTAAGTTATTAACATATTCTTGTTTTGATAAGAATTTATATAGTGATCAATCAATTACTGAAGGTTAATTTTTTTTTTGTTAATTATCAAATTTTTCTTTTTTCAATTTTTAAAGGACATTCAGGTGTTAATCAACTTGGTGGTTTATTTGTTAATGGTCGACCATTACCTGATACAACACGAACACGTATTGTTGAACTTGCACATAGTGGTATGCGTCCATGTGATATAAGTCGATTTTTACAAGTATCAAATGGTTGTGTTTCAAAAATCTTAGCACGTTATTATGAAACAGGTTCAATTAAACCACGTGCTATTGGAGGTTCAAAACCGCGTGTTGCTACATCTGATGTTGTAAATAGAATTGCTCAATATAAACGTGAAACACCATCTATATTTGCATGGGAAATTCGTGATCGTCTTTTAACAGATAATATTTGTAATCCAGAAAATATACCAAGTGTATGTGTCCTTTTGTTTTTTTTGGGTTATTATATTTTTTTTGTATAATAATAATTTTTAAGGTATCATCAATAAATCGTGTACTTCGAAATCTTGGTTCAAAATCTTTAGAATCAATGATTAATCATGAAACATATTATTCTGTTGATAATAAATTACGTGTTTTACATAGTCAACCATGGTCATCATCATCATCATGTTATGTTCATCAAACAACATCAAGTATTTATTCAAATAGTGGTGATTCAAATTCTGAATATAAACATCAAACAAATGATATTAATCATGGTACACATCATGATTTAGAAGGTAAAAAAAAAAATTCTATTTTGATCTAATGAAGTCACAGATGTATAGAAATATATATATATAGACCACCTGTTGATATTGATCGGTTAGTTAGAGAACAATTAGAAAAAATTAACTGCTGATGCCCTGAAGATAGATCGAAGAAAAAGCAAAAAATCTAAATATCTTTTCTTAATGATTGATAAATAAAATAAATGATCAGACGGTCATCAAGGCGGAGTTATTCTTATTCTGATCTTAAAATAATCATAACAACAATAGTAGCAGCATGAATTTCTTTTTTCTAGTTTGACATCAATGTTTTTTATCTATATATATATACTAATTAAGAAGAAAAACATCCATCTACACAGTAGGACAGACGGGAAAATCATATTTTTGCTTATCTCTTATTCTTAAAAAAATAATAATAATAGATTTTTTTCCTTATTGCAAAAAAAAAATTTGAACTCAGATTTTTCTTCTTCTTCTTCATTACGCTTTGTTGAACTCATAAAAATTGTCACTTCATTTTACAGATGTTCTCTTCTCTGTCATGTTATTCCACATCGTTGATAACATTCTTTTTTATCATTCAATTGTAAATAAATTTTCTAGACAAAAGAAAGAATAGATTTTTCTCTTTCTAATATTAATCTCTTGATGTTTGCATAAAAACGAAAAATATGTATCTATCTATCATAATTTCGGCATCTAATTGAATATGTTCTTTTTTTTTACGTCTTCATAATGATAAGAATGTTTCAATCATAATCGCCATAAGCTTCATCATCACACCAAACATTTCTTTTTTTTTGTTTTGTGATCAAAGAATTACTTTGCCTTTTTTTTTGATTGTTTAGAATTATCTGATGGAAGTGATGATAGTAAAATAGGTATAAAAGATGGTTTAAATGAAAATGATGAAGCTATACAAGAACGTTTAAAATTAAAACGAAAATTACAACGTAATCGAACATCATTTACACAAGAACAAATTGATGCATTAGAACAAGGTATTTAAAATAGATGTTTTTTTTTGTATAATAATTTTCAAAAATTGATTTTTTAGCTTTTAATAATTCACATTATCCAGATATATATTTACGTGAAAAAATTGCACAAAAAATTAGTTTACCTGAAGCTCGAATACAAGTAGAAACTTTCGAATTTTTGTTGTGTTTTATTTATCAAAATTTTTAAGGTATGGTTTTCTAATCGTCGTGCAAAATATCGTCGTGAAGATAAAGTTAAAGGTCGACGACAACAACAACAATTAACACATAATATAGAAGAAAATATGCGACCATCAGGTACAACACCACCACCACCACCACCATCATCATCATCAGTTTATTCTCAAGTATTTCCATCAAATAATCCACCAATAACAAATGATTCACATCATCATCCTTATCATCATCAATATGGAGCATTTAGTTCAGGTTTTAGTGCTGCTGCTGTTGCACGTAGTTCAAGCGGTGGTTATTCAACATTGTTTCCCAGTACAGTTTTTTTTTTTTCTAATTGAATTTTATACCCTAAAGGAATTTTATTTATTTTTTTTTAGCTTCAACATGTGGTTACGATGGACTTAGTCCATTTAGCACACCTTATAATCGTTCTTGTTCAAATTATCCAACAGGCATTCAAACTAATCTATCTGCAGGTAGGTGCAAAATAAAAAAAAAAAAACAATACAATTTATTTTGTATAGATCATATGAAAAATATGTCAACGTATGGCGGTGCTCCACATATTTGGTATCCATCAATATTTCCGTAAAGAGAAGAAAAGAAAAAAAAGGTATGTTTTGTCTCATGAGAAATGCTTGTGAATAATAGCGTTTGATTGAAATAGGTGATGATTTGTTAGATAAATAAGCATTTTTAGAGTGTAAAAAAATGAAAAAACAAATTAAATCTTTTTTTTTATTTTTGTTTTTAGATTCGAATTGACACGTTTAAACTATTGTGAACATTGACTTGTGTATATCATATTTGATTGTTTGTTTTTTTTTTCTTCTTCTGTATTGTCATCTATTGTGTTCATCTTCGTTCTTTTTTTTTTTTTTTATATTTTCAATGAAATAGATATATGAACTGGCGCCTTGAATATATATATATATTTCAAATAAGAAAGATTTTCTTTAAAAAATTAATTACTAGAATATGAAACGATATCAGGATTGGCCCGACCGGGAGTTGTCACAACTCCCTAATAATCGAAAATTTTTGTTCTTTCCAAGCGGAGTCGAAAATTTTTTCTTGCCGTTACAAAAATCCGAGACAACCCCCCAATGTTGGCTGTCTCGGGCCAGCCCTGAATGATATATTTCAACTAGTGGCGAAACTAGGATTTTAACGGTGGAGGGACTCAGCTGGCCGAGCTCTAAGTCGATGGTGGGGCTTAGCCCTACCTGGCCACCCCTGCGGTTACGCCACTAATTTCAACGTATTTGAAAACTGTTGTATTGAAATATTTTCAATGTTTGTCAAAAAGTTAAATAGATATCTCTGTTTGTCTTTTGTTTATTATGTTGATGTATGGAAATCAGTTTTTATTTGTTCATCACCAATCATTAGAAAACGAACAGCAACCAATAGAAATATTGTTCAATTCTATTGAAAATCAGAGCTTTATTTTAACAGGGGCGGCGCGAAGAGGTCAAAGCACGGGGGCTATTTTCGAAAAATGGGAGAAAATGTGAAAAAAATCAAATTTTGAGGTAATGGTTCAGCAAAAAAAAAGCGAAAATTTTCAAAAGCGGGAGGGGTACCCTCCCCCGCTCGCGCCGCCCCTGTTTATTTTTTGAACCTTACTACTGACTGTTTTCTAGAATAGAAATCAATTAAATTAAATAGTTCAATTTTAACTGATTTACAAGAGAACATTCTCAAATGTGACTTATCAATCAAACTGATATTTTGTTTATAAGAAAATCTTGACGAGAGACTAGTTTAATGATTTTTACCAATAAAATAATGATAATAATATTAGTAAAAATAGTATATTCGTAAAACTATCCTATATCATTTACTAATATTTATCGAAAGAAATTGAATATTGATGTACGTTTTGTTATTTTTTATTTGATTGGTGATTCATTATCGATGATCCATTCACTTGTTTTTGTTTTTTGTATAGGTAAAAAGTTCTTTTATTGACGAGACTATCTTGACCAAGCTTGTTCGTTTTACGTAATACTATAATATTTATTTTCTTTCGATTTTGAAAATTCAATATATTTCTTGAAATATGGATCATATCTTTACTTAAACCCATACTCTCACATAATAAATCAGTTTGAAATATAAACATCGACAAAAGTAGATAAGTTGTTCGTTTTTCCTTGAAGTTATATTTATAATATATATATATGTCATAGAATTAATTCAACTGAAATGATATTTTCTCGTAAGCGTTGAATACCTTCTGGACTAAAACGATTATTATGAATATTCAAGTATTGTAAAGTAATAATCTTTGTTCCATATAAATATTCTAGTAGAGATGAAATATAAAAATCAGTAAATCGATTTGAACTAAGATCAATTATTCGTAATGTATTTATTTTTTGAATAAGATCAATTATAAATTTCATATTTATTAATCTATTATGTGATAAATTAAATTTAATTAATTTTGATGAATATTTTAATAATTGTTCAATAAATAATTGTAATTGATATTCTTTAATATAAGTATTAGTAAGATCAAGTCCATGTAAATTTTGCATACAACCAAGCCAATAGATACAATTATCAGATAATTCATTTAAACCTAAATCAAGATGAGTTAATGTATTATTATTTAATGCAAGTATTTTAATTAATTGTTCAAATTCAAATAGAGATGATTGACAACAACGAAGTGATAAATGAGTAATAATATTATTGTTTAAAAATAAATGTTGAAATGCTTCAATACTTTTTATACCAATTTTATTCATTCCACATGTGATATGTGTTAAAAATATATTATTATCAAGTGTATCAATTAATTTAATAATACTTATATCAGAAAGATTATTTTCACTTATATTAATTTCAGTTAAATAAATATCTTTGAATTCAAAAGCTGAAATTAATATAAGTAAACCTTGATCACCTAGATAATTCAAACTTAGATTAAGAGTTGTAAGTGTATGATTTTCTCTTAAAAGTATAGCAATACTATTACAGACATCGGCTGTTAGATTATTATCAGATAGATTGAGATAAGTTATATTTGTATTCTTTTCAAGAATTCTACATAATTCAACTATTCCATGATCATTGAATTGATTTTTAGCCAATGATAAATTTTGTAATTTTGAATTATTGATAAAATCATCTGAAAATGCTTTAAGTCCATTATTATCAATTTTATTTAGATCAAGATTTAAAGTTAAGAGTGATTTAAGTGATCCTAGAAGTTTTACTCCAATTTCGCCAATATGATTTTGTTTAAGTATTAAATATTTTAATACATTGTTTTTATATAATGCATTATAAAGTATAGTAATGCATTCATCAGTTAAATTATTATTAGTTAAATCTAAAAATTCAATTGTTTTAGTTGAACAAATATAATTAGCAAGATGTTGAATGCCATTTAAACCAATTTTACAATTGATGAAAAATAATTCTCGTATATTTTTATTTTTTTTTAATGCTTCAATAATTGATATTAGAATATTTTCTTTAAGATTTGTTATGGAAATATCTAAACGATGTTCTGTAAGTATTATATGATGATCATTTTCAATTAATGATAAATGAACAATAAAATTCGAATTTTTTCCAGTTTCAATTGCTTGAATCATTAAAGAAATATTATTTACATTAAGACAAGCTACATGATGATAGATCAAAGTCAATAAACGTGATTTTTCAATCAAATTTTCTAATATTTGTATTATTGCACTTGGTTTCTTTCGTCCTAGACGTGTTTCAATATTAAGTTGTATGAATTCGAGTTGTTTAATGAATGCATGTTTAACTTTATTGATGAACAGTTCAAGTTCCTTTTCATTCAATATACATTTATGTATTAGAAGTCGATCAATATTGATCGGACCATATTCCAATAATTTAATCAAAGTATCAGTGTTTTTGGATTCTAATAATAATCTCACTTCAGCATTTGCTGTCTGTTCTTCGAACAATCCACCCCATTGAAGAAAATGTTCGATAAATATTTTAGTTTGATGTTGTGTTTGATTATTATCATAATGATATTTACATACCCATCTTACATGTCCATTCATGTCAACATATCGATATAGATTACCTAATGTTTGACAATTATCAACTCGTTTAATATATTGTTCTAATTCACGCATTTCAGCTCCAAACGATGCTTTTCGATAGTATCTCTCGGCATTATCTATATTAATATCATCGAATGATTTTCCTATAGTCGTTTCCAAATTCTCGCTTACTATCTTTAGATTGTCATTTAACGTACTCCAGAATTCTCGATCTTGAAGAAATTCAGGTATTTCGATATTCTGTCCGATATAACCAAGAGCAGGAATTAGAAAACTTCCAGCTACGAGTGCACTTTGTACAATACGAATGACAGTAATCAAATGTTGACCATATTTCATAAAGAAAGCTTTAGGTTGTTTGATTCGATAACCGTCGTGTAGTGCAAAATGTATCCGATTGTCACCATATTCACATAAAAAATAGAGACAAAATATGTTACGTAACCAATTAAAGGGTTTCCATCGATCGGTTCCTTTTAATTTTAGAGGCAAGATAATGAACATACATGGAATTCGACATTCAGCTAATTCATACATTTGACGACGAATTAATTCCATATTATCAATTATTTTATCGATATTTCTTAGTATTGGCTGTTGTACTTCTCGAATATCATTCAATGTTATTGTCAAATCTTCATTTATCAACGTAGGACTATGACAATAGAGTGTTCGCTGTGAATAAAACTTGATGCGTAATGGTGGAAGATTTCTTCCATTTCTATCGGCCAAAAATGGTACTTGTTTTAATTCTTTTTCATCAAAAAAGAGAGCAGTAGCATTAGGAGCAAATCGAAGAATATCTTGAAATCGAACACAAACAACATTATTGATCGAATAAGTACAAACTTGAATTATTTTTCCATTGATACATACGGACTGATGATTCATCTGGAAAAAAAAAGAATCTATTCAAAAATAAATAAGTACTGAATAAACATTCTTTGTTTTTTTTAGAAAATGAAAGTTCTCATATGTGATACACGAATTCAAAAATAGAGTATTTAAAAAGGAAAACCAGAATTTCGACCCGGTCCGAAATTTCGGTGATTTTTCGAGCTGGGCCGAAATTTCTTGTGGACTTTCGGCCTATGACCTCATTGATCCTAAAATAAAAAATCTAATTTTTTAAAATTAGTTGTTAGGCATCGTAGTGCTGAGCAGGACGCCATAGTGCTCAGCGGTATGGCGTAGTTCTGAGTAGGACGCCATAGTACTCAGCGGTGTGGCGTAGTGCTGAGCAGGACTCCATAGTGCTCAGTGGTATGGAGTAGTGCTGAACAGGACGTCATAACGCTGAATGGTATGGTGCAGTGGTGCTGGGCAGGACGTCATGATCTTCAGCATTATGGCGTAGATGCGAGTGTGGGTGTGGATGTGGGTGGGTATTGTGGGTGTACGTATGAGTGTTGAAGGAAGAGACATCGACATCGCACACCCACTACTCAGCACTACGTCATACTACTCAGCACTATGCCATACCGCTCAACGATATGGCATCCTGTTGAGCACTACGATGTCTAGCAACTACCTTTGAAAAATTAAGTTTTTTATTTTAGGGTCAATGAGGTCATGGGCTGAAAGTTCACGAGAAATTTCGACCCGGCCCGAAAAATCACCGGAATTTCGGACCGAGCCGAAAGTCTGAGCCGAAATTCATGGAACCCTTTAAAAAATTCAAAATCTTAGCTGAGAAATATATTGAAAACTACATTATAATAGCTGCAAAGATGAAGTTTTAACTTTTTGAAGTCTTTGTGTTTCAGAAATACTTGTTCATTGTATAGCAAACCAACTACGAAAACTTTGAAGAAATCTTTCATTCCAAAAGCCAGATAACGTCTGATTAATACGTGTCCAAAATGAACGATTATTCAATATAATTTCAACCATTTGTTCAATTTTTTCTTCAGATAAAGAATCCATAATACCAGTAATCAGTTCAAATACACCGACAGGAGGTAATCGAATATTTTTTGAAAGATCAACATATTCAATTGTGTTTATCTGAGATACCAGTGCTACACGTTGCCTAGTTTTTTTGTTACTATAGAATGTAATCGATGGAGTAGATGAATTAGACGAATCAACTTTTTCCGATATCAAAGGATACTTCTCTTGAGATAATCGTAGAAAAATATCGTTCAAGTCTTGGAGAACGCTATCTGTTCGATTACCGAAATGCATATTTGTACAGACTAATGCACAAAAGATATTTGAATCTATGCATGTTGTTACTAGCCAGAATAACCGTTCTAGGTCAACATAACATCCTGGACTTGCGCAAAATATAAGACAGATTGGATGGCGAATTTTTATAATATCACATACATAAGATTCAATATCAGGTTTCGTCCATGACTCAATTCCCACTGTGTCCCAAAATTTGACAATATATTTACGATTATAACGTTCAGTTGTTTTTGTATAACATTCAACTCTTTGAGTACATGAAGCCAATCCATCACTAGTTCGAGCGACCTCTGAACCACAAAGCGCATTGATCAAAGTTGATTTACCAACACGAGGCGGTCCTGATAGCATGATATGACATTCACTTAAACTGGCTTCTACCAGAGCTTTTTCTTCACGATATAATACAATACTTTGTAATACACGATGAAGTTTAGTAGCAAGTCGTTCTTCTATCTTTGCCTCTATATATAAGAAAAAACTCTTAGATGAGCATTAGTGTACTATGAAAATATCAAATTTCACATTCATACCTTCCAATGACTTCTTAAATGCATTTGTTACATTTACAGCTGTTCTCAAATTTCTTACTTTTTCCCAATTCGATGTTTTATTTCCAGATTCTAGAAAAATTAAACTGTTGAAGAGAAATTCATTGTTTTAAATAACTTCTATAGTTCACTTGATCTTACCTTTTGTTGCCATTGTAGTTTTAAAAATAAAAATAATTTGATAAGATCTTACTATTTTCTTAACTGATGAAGAATGTATGTCCAAAAATTCCAACAATCAAATAGGAAGTAGCTTTTATTAATTTTTCTAGTGTCGTTTATCTTTCATCACATTTTTTTTGTTCTTTATAAAGATATTTAAAAAAAAGCAACATACACACAAGCTTCTCATAAAAAGTTGTTATCTTGCACATGACGAATAGATTTATTATCACTACTAATATTATTCAAAATGGTCCCATGGAAAAAAATGGCGAAAAATGATGTAATTTACATCATTTTAATGAAAAATTGTGTAATTTACATCATTTTAATGAAAAATTGTGTAATTTACATCATTTTACTGAAAAATTATGTAATTTACATCATTTTAATGAAAAATTGTGTAATTTACATCATTTTAATGAAAAATTATGTAATTTACATCATTTTAAGGGCCCCCCCCCCCTCAGAAAATCCAATTTTCCAGAGATAAGTCGAGATTGAAGTTTTATCATAGGAAGATGCAACGAAGTCTCCTCTTTCAGAATATCTATGGCTTATTGCAAAATGAATTGATTTTGACGAACTTATCATCTAAAACTTGTCTTCTACTATCACATTTTTCGAGAAATTTTCATGGTGTTTTTTCAAGGTTTTTTGACTTTTTAGGCTCCTTTCTCTTTGCATCAGCATTTCGTAAAGTCTTTTTTTTTATACTAATCACTATGACACTATTAAAACATAATATTAAGATCACATATTTATAGTCTGTCTTGAACGCTGATATATGAATCAAGTTACTTTTGAAAAAATCGCTTTTTAATACTTATTTTTCGTTTTTCTCAAAATCAGTTTTTTCGTGTGTGCAGTGTATACGGGCAGGTTTTTCTCCATAACGATTCAACATGAAAACGACAATTTTTTTTATTATATAGAAGACATGTAGGGCTAGGACTTAACATGCTCGGATTTTTAAATTTCTCTTTTGCTGAAATAAAAAGCTAGGGCACTTTATTTTCATTAGCATCTAGAATTTGAAAGTTTTTCGAAAACGTCTTTTAAAAATTAAATAAAGGGAAATTCAAAAATCGGACCATGATAAGTCCTAGCCCTAAGGGCACTCTACAATCTGAAAGCTGCCCCATCACTCTAGCTGGTATCTTTATTGCAAAAAACTTGCCATATTTTTGACCAATAAAGAGACTAGAACTCATGTATAACTTTGAGATTTGGAGGAGGTATTTTAACCATAACATATCCTAGCCAAGGCTAACATTTCCTGATATTTTGGTTGAAATCGGATAAGAAAATAACAAAGTTCGTTCCTGAGGAGGGGCTTAATGGAAAATTATGTAATTTACATCATTTTAATGAAAAATTTTCCACAGAGACATGATGTCGAAAGTGAGAAACATGCCATCATTCAGCATGAAAAGGACACTTTAATGCATGTTTTTGAAATTCATGCAATTTTCCGAAAATTTCATTGCATGAAACCAATTAAATTTACATAAATATCATGCCAAGGAAATCATTAATACACATCAAAATTTTTTCCTGAAAAGAATTAAAATTTAATGAAAGTCATGGCCTTATAACAATGAAAAAATTCTCCGCCTAAGCCACCAGCAGACTAAACTGTAAGTGGCATCTCAGCCTTTCACAAGGCTCAGATGCTGGTTGCCCTTCGAGTAGCTGTGCGATAAACTCTTGAGAAGTTCAATTTACTCTAGAGCCATGTGAATGGGCAAAAACTTAGAGTAATAAAATTTATTATTTCTAATAGAAAAAGCAGGGCACGACATCCTATCTGTCCTTACACATTTCGTTTTTCATAAAAGTAAAATTTGTAAGGACAGATGTGGAGATAACGTTCAAATTCATCAATTTTTTTGATGAATTATCAAATTCATGAAATGAAAATGATGCAAAAGTAATGAAAGCAATGTTATAACTTTCCTTTTGTCAGGGTAATTAAAGTTATGAAATGAAAGTGAGAAAAAGTAGTGCAAAGATTTTGATTTTTAGGTAGGGATCAAAATCATCGGTCAGAGAAATGCAAAGGTAATGAGAGTAATATAATCATTTTGATTTTTCCAGAGTAATCGAAGTTATGAAATGAAAATGATGTAAAAGTGATTAGAAGTAATGTAATGATTTTGATTTTTTCGAAATCATCAAAATCATGAACTGGAATTGATGAAAAACTAACGAAAGTAATGTAATGATTTTGATTTTAGCAGAACAATCAAAGCCATCAACTGAAAATAATTCGAAACTAATCAAATTAAAGTTATGACTTTGATTTTTCAAGGGTAATGAAAGTCATGGAATAATAGTGAGGAAAAGTGATAAAAGTAAGGTAGTGATTTTCATTTTTGCGTAGTCATCAAAATCCTGGAATGAAAATGATGCAAAAGTGATGAAAGTACTGTTATTATTATAATTTTGCATAAAAGAATCAAGATTACCTGATAAAAATGATGAAAAAGAAATAAAACTAATGCAAGTAATTCAGTTTTTTTAAAATAGACAAATTAATGCAGTGGAATTGATGTAAAAGTAATGAAATTAATGCAGCGATTTTAATTTTTCGAGAATAGACACTTTAAGGCCCCCTCAGAAAAGTCAATTTCGGTCAAATTTATCGATTTTGTGATTTAAAACTCATTAGATAGAGCAAAGTGTCTACTCCCGAATGCACTATAGTTGATTGATTTTATGATGAGCTTTAACAATATTACATAAGTTTTTCTGAACCTCCATATTGGAAAAATAAGGCTTTTAAAAACTTATTTTTCGCTTTTCTCAAAATCAGTTTTTTCGAGTATACCGTTTACACGGGCACGCCTTTCTTAATAACGACTCAATAGAGAAGGGATAATTTTTTCTTATTGCATAGAGGACAAGTGGGGCTAGATCCTAATAGAGCCCGATTTTTGAATTTCTCTTCTGCTGAAATAAAAAACTTGAATCTTTCGTTTTGTTTAGCAACTTTTTTGACCATGAATTCGAGAATTTTTCGAAAAACGTTTTTTAAAAAACAAACGAAGGGAAATTCAAAAATCGGACTCTATTAGGACCTAGCACTAAGGGTACTCTACAATTTAAAAACCACGCCGACATGTTTAGCTAATATCCTCATGTTGAAAACCTTGCCCGCGTAAAGGGTATTTTTGACCAATGAATTGACTAGAACTTGTGCATATCTTTGAGATTTGGGGGAGATATTTTAACCGTAATCTATTCTAGCCTAGACTCACATTCTCTGAAATTTTGGTTGAAATCGGATGAAAAATAACAAAGTTGATTTCTGAGGGGGTGGGGGCGGCTTAATGAAATAAAAATGATGCAAAAGTCAAGAAAATACTGTTGTTATAATGCTTTTGTAAAAAATTAAGATCACCTGGTGAAAATGATGAAAAACAAATAAAGCTAATGCAATTGATTCAATTTTTTAAGAATAGACAATTTAATGAAGTGGAAACGATGCAAAAGTAATGAAACTAATGCAGTGATTTTAATGTTTCAAGAATTCAGAATTTAATGAAATAAAAATGATGCAAAAGCAATGAAAGTAATGTTATTATTATAGTTTTTCAGAAAAATTAAGATTATCTGATGAAAATCATGGAAAAAAATGAAATTAATGCAATAATTTCAATTTTTCGAAAATAATCAATTTAAGACAATGAAAATGATACAAAAATAATGAAACTATCGGGATGAGTTTGATTTTCGCGAAATAATTAAAGTAACGAATTTTTTTTGATGAAAAGTTTGGAAAAAATGATTTAAATGAAATTTCTTTCATCTTTTTATTCCCTGAGGTCTGCCTGAATTCATATCAACAGTCAAACATAACAATCATACATATATAGTCATGAGCCATGAGTGAAACAAACATTCGATAATCTAAAAATAGATTGATTTTAATGACATAAACGAATTTGTAATATCGTGAGGTTGTTCTCGAACCAGCAATGTTCAGACTTCCGAAAAAGGAAATTTCGGAACAATGGCATAGCCAGAAATTTTTGAGTCATGGGCAATTCATCAGCCGAACTATTTTGAGTTACGAGCAGCTAATGGCAACCGTGATGATTTCAAAAATATCTATGGACAATAGCTGTTCAAGCAATGCATAGCTCAATAAATCTATGGGCAATGGCCCTTCCCCTGGCTACGCCACTGTTTCGGAGATTTCAAGCATTTATGTTCAGAATTGTACGTTACTTCCTAAAATGATGTAATTTCTGAAATTTCTAAAAACTTTTGATTTGCACTGCTATATAGTAATCGAATTGATGGAAAATTCAGAAATATGGGTAATTTCCTTTTTTGGAAATCTGAACATACTTCAATAATTGAAGGATTATCATAGTGTCATCATCATAATCTAGTTAAGCTTGAATTCTATCGATGAAATATAGATTGTTAAAGTTATTTTCTTAATTATTATAATTTTCATTTTGGTTATATAAAAACAAAACAAAAAAAAAGCCTATTTATATACTATTAAACTGTGAAATAAAAAATTTATTTTAAATTAAGCAAAATTTTACATAAAAAAAAGACATTTATTAAATTTTTAGATTCTATTTTAAATTAACATCTTACAAAGTCTTTCTATCTTACACAATTGAGTTAAAATTCTTAAACGAGATATAAATAAGAATTATTCATCTAAATACAATCTTATCATAGACTATAATATCAAATTGACTTTACTATTTATAATATATTAACATTTAATCATATCCTATCGAAGTATTCGAAAAAACAAAAAAATATAAGATTTCATCTGTTTTTATATTAACATAATGACATGATTTTAAAACTCACATCCACACCCTATCTAGAAATATTATGCTTATAATCTCTTGTGTTCGATTCATGATTTAAAATCGATTAGTAATTTCCTAACATATACTATTTATTTCATATTTGATAACGACAATTGATATGACCTTGTATTACAATTTTTATTCCTATTCGACATATAATTTTTAGTAAAATTTCACTATCATAAACTTATACAATGAAATTCTTTTGATTGAAAAAACAAAATTTTTATTAAACGATCAATTTATTATTATTTCATTGAGCAAAAAATATTTTTCGAAATTTAAATATATGCAAAAATATATCAGTGCATATTTTCTTATCCCAACAATATGAAGATAAAAATAAAACGAGAGAAAATGAGAGAATATTAAGAAAAAAGGTATACACACGCAATGGCAACCCACATGCATGAAAAATAAATTGCTGTACTAATGAAAATATACGCTTCATTGCTTCACATAAATATCAGTAAGAAGAAAAAAAAAACAAGTATAATTTCGTCAAGGATAAATATAAAACAAAATTGATTGACAGCACATAATATAAAATTCAAACGCTCGATTATAACTAAAAATGTAAGTATATTATGATTTTTAATATTATTAGACTAATAAATAAGACATTCTAATCAATAGAAAATCTTCATTTTGAAGAACTATAAATCATTTCAAACAAAAATCAAATTTTTTACAATATTTACATTTTATCAAGACTTATGTTATTTGAAAATACGAATTTTTGTTTTTAGAGAAGTTAATATTGCAGTTAAGTGAAGAATTTTTTTAATAGTGTAGAAACATTAAAAAAAAGTCTCTTAGAAATTAACATGAGTAAAAATAACTTCATGAAAAAAAAAACATATTTCGAAATGTAACATCGAACACTGATTGCATCTCATGTATGAGTCATAGACATATCTATGATAGTCACATGAGAGTCATCAGATGATTTAGATTACTTTTTAAGAGATGCTTTATGCGTTTATTTTAATATCTTTATTTGTATGAATATGTAACATGCGAAGAAACAGACAAATTTATAATTCATTTTAAAATCTAGTTCTTTTTTTTTCGTTATAGGATTCAAAGTTCGATCAAATTAAAGTTTAGATTAAAAAAAGAAAAAGATACTTTTCAATAATGTCATACAAAATGATTAAAATCTACTTTTCTTTTTCGACTAAACTAGAGAAACTAGGATTAGATTGTAATCTATGTATGTTTTTTTCAAGAAGATTCAAAAATTAAATTTAGAAACGAGTGATTTCGAAGAAATTTATTAATTAGAACCGACGATTGAAATCATTTTTCAGTGAAGATTTTGTAAGATTCAATTCAGTTCGATTGAAATGGATGTATTTGAACTAATTATGAGTGTCATCACTATGATTGTTCTCGTCACCGACAGCTATATTTTATTCTAGTCGTTGGCATAACTTCATCAACAAATAGAATAGAATCTTTTCTCATTATTTGTATCGAAAAGATAATCCAGAAACAGTGAACTTTCGAGAGAGTTTCTAACACTTCATTAACTTTTCGATTCTTAGCATACATTCAGTAGAGTTGATGTTGAATTAACCGCACAATGGATATTGTTAGCATCAGAGATGGACAAAATCGCACCGCGCTTCCCCGCGCCACTGCTCGCGCCTAGGCGCTACGCACATCTCTCTTTCTCTTTGCTCTACCAATCAGTTTCTCAAATTCCACCGAATACCAGGATGCTCTAAGCATGCGCTCATCGAAGCTCAGACTAGTGTAGCGTAGGCGTGAGCAACGGCGCGAGGAGGCGCGGTGCGACTTTGTCCATCTCTGGTTAGCATTCTCGATTTATTTTACAATAGATGATCAAATTAGGAACTTGAAATTATTTAACGAATTGAATTCAAATCAATTTCTTAATTCGATCACAAAACATCAATTCGAATATCATAAGAAAAGTATGATGAAGATTATAACACAAAATTAATAAAGAAATATAAATTATAAGTTAAAAAGTTGATATAATGTTTAAAAATTTAAAATAATTGGACAATTTATTTTATAAAAATAATAATGAACAAAGACTTATACGAAATGAATATTATCATTATTTGTAAAATAGAAATACAACTGAATTGTATATTAACAATTATTCAATATCAATTAATATTCGTAAGATGTTTTCAAAAAACAATTATTTAGATAGATCTTGTCATTTGTTCGACATTATTTTATTCAAATGATGAGATTATATTTCGTCACATGTTTTATTTTCGCAGAAAATAATTACGTAAGATCCATACCAGAGATGGACAAAGTCGCACCGCGCCTCCCCGCGCCGTTGCTCACGCCTACGCTACACTAGTTTGAGCTTCGATGAGCGCATGCTTAGAGCATCCTGGTATTCGGTGGAGTTTGAGAAACTGATTGGTAGAGCAAAGAGAAAGAGAGATGTGCGTAGCGCCTAGGCGCGAGCAGTGGCGCGGGGAGGCGCGGTGCGATTTTGTTCATCTCTGATCCATACTAGATTTTACATTTCTATAAATAAGTTAAAATATTTCACAAATAATCTGATCAAAATTTTCTAAAACATACTGATCGAAATCTATTTGTTATCTTTGTTTCCTAGAATAGGATAGATAGGTTATTTTAAAAAAACTTAAAATATATCTGTGATATTCTACATAAATATCATTTGTTATTTATTGATTCTAGATCGAAAAACTTTAAGAACTACTTACTATAGAATATATATTGTTTGAAATTAGATAATCGAAACGATATTTATGGCAGAAACAATAACTATGAAGATTAATAAAATGGAAGACGTTCAATGGATGTGGCAATCGAACTCAAATCCTTGGTCAAAGACTGAAGCAGCTCGATGGAGTCCTTATGCAGACATAGACAACTTTATTATTGAAGCAGCATATTCTAAAAACGAAGAATATGTAAAATTAGATGGTTATGTTATTGATCTTAAAAATAAAGTTCAAATTTCAAGAAAAAATGAAAAAAATCAGAGACCAATTCAAAGAACGATGGCAAACAAAGAAGATAAACATATGAGAGAAGATCGTTTCATAAGTGATCCAATAGCTCCACATCGTCGTGCCGGTGCTGAATATGGATGGGTTTCTCCTTTCATAATTGAAGTGAGAAAATATTTGGAACTTGAACCAGAACAATTGCCTTCAAAAAATAAAACAATCGTTCCGATTATTGTTGAAAAAGCTGCAGCTGGTATTATTGAAGAAGGCAAGACAATTGGAAAACCATACGAAGCAGAAAAATTGTCTCAAATCTTGTTAGAACAAAAAGACAAAGATATTAATCAAGTTTGGACATGTTGTGCATATCTATATTCAATGGAAAGTTTTTTATATAAAAAGTTAAATGAAACAATGAGACCTATAGGAAATCATGAACATGAAAAAATTTGGCAAAGTAAAATTCGTACATTAGGACCATTTTGTTTGCTCTTATGGGATAATCCATTTAATACGAAACTCACAACAGGCAAAGTACTTTTTCGAGTAGGCAAGTTAACAGAAAAACAAATTTCTATATATAAAGATTTGGCTAAGAATCCTGAAGAATATCGTTCATTTCAAGCATTTACTTCATGCAGTCGAGATTCTCATATAGCAGAGAAATTTCCGAGTGCAAACGTCTTATTCATTATGGAAATAGCTGGTGCATTCTGCGTTGATTTAAAGCCAATATCTTTATATCCAGAAGAAGAAGAAGAACTCATAACTCCGGGTGTTTGTTTTACTGTTAAAAGTTATGAATTTGACGCAACAAAGAAGAAACATATAATCTATTTGATCCTAAAACAACGCTTCTCTCGTAAGTATAACTCTTTCTTTAAATCTTTATTCATTTATTTGAAAAATGATTTTATCCAAAAGATCTCATTATGATTTTTTTCATGATCAAACTTATATACAGAATATTACATAAATAAGTAAGAAAGACTAACTTAACTAATTAATATCTTGTAGAATTCAAAGAGAATCGTTATTACAAGTAAAACAAATTTGTTAATGTTTGAGTCATCGAAATTTAATCATATTTTGAAAGAAATATATCATTTTTAGATGAGTATTCTAGATCATTGAGAAACATACATTCATTTCAAAAAAATGTAAAAAATTTAAACATCAAAAAATAAAAACGATTTTAGTTCAATATTTTTTATTGTTATTAGTCTGATGATTCATGTATCATTTTTCAAAAGCATAGTCAGACGAAAGAGCAAAAAGCAAAGTAGTTCGATGAATTTTACTTTCTAATCATTTGCAGTTTGTTGAGATCATGTATTAATAAAAAAAAATATATATATAATGAACTCTAAGAATTTACTTTCTGACACATGATATAGTAACATTTATTTTAAATGAATTGAAGTCATTTAATAAGTTCTAATGAGATGAAATTCTTGATCTTCAATAAGTGAGATTCTTTTATTTAAAATATTATGAAAGTCAATGGGATATAATTTTGAATAATTTTGAAAAATTCGCAAATCAATACTCGTACTTATTCTATACTTTTATTTCTTCAAAAAATAAATAGAAAATTTACTGGAAATAGACTGATTGTCTCAAATTTTTACATATTCTGCTATGTTCCATTGCTTACCCAAGTCGTGAAATATGGGCCGGTTCTCACAGAAAAACACCGGAAATCAACGAAACATGGAAGCAGTATTCCGGTGACCGGATTTATCCGATTCCGAGCGGAACCGACAGGAATTTGGAAAAACCGGCAGCCGGATACAGTCACCGGATTCCTGCGGGTTTTCGCTGGAAATTCACGGAATACTGCTTTAGGAATCATCGACTTAGTATGATTAATAACCTTGTCAATTTTTGAATAACACTGTTTTTATGACGTTCAAAATAAAAAATGATCAAATATTTGAATTACCATTTATTCAAACAAGAATAGGATATGAAAGATAATCAATTGACATTTCGATTTACTAATTAATATTTTCATAGTAAATTTGATTGTTTAACTTTTTTGAAAATCAATGTACATGTAAATCTTAATTGCTCATTTATTCTTTCTTGCTCAAACAATAGAATATTAGACAGATTTCGATTAATAATTAGATGCATTCAAAATTGATTCAATCTGCAATTTGAACTCTCAGTTTTTCGACAAAGTAAATCATTCATATTTCTTATAGCCTTTTTTTTCTTAGACAACTATATAGTATATTTAATAGAAACACTGAAGAATGATACTTTTTTATTATTATTCATGACTAACTGAATTTCTATTTAAAATTGTTATAAGTTTTCATGAATTAAATGATATCTTTGAAACTTAGAAAATATTTCAGTTTTGTTACTTTTGTTTGTTTTTTTAAATAAATCTTTGTTCGAAAATATCGAATTTGAAATGACCGCTTAGTTTATCTGAGTCTTTAGTGGTTATTGAATGTGAAAGTTTAGAGATACCGAAGCGCGTTCACCGATATAGACCATTGTGATTGATGGTAATTTGTAAGTTTGCATAGTCTATAGAAACGTTTAGCTAATACAACTGTTTGAAACTTTGGAATTATAAGTATTCACGAAATTCTCGAATCTTATGATATCATCTTAGATTGGCAGATATTAAACAATCTTTCAAGTCTATCAATGAAGATTTTTCATTAGAAAACAAAAATTTTCTCGATATTTTGCATTATTTCGAGCCTAAAAAAATGAAATAGTTGGCAAAATCTAATAATTAGTCAATGTAGTTTTATGTGTGAACTATATTCATTTTGTTAAATAGAAAAGTCGAATATGACGATTTCTACAATGGAATCTAGATTGTGCTGCACTGTATAATAAATACAAGCAGCACTTTACTCTATAGTTTAAGAGAATCAATGAAATTCACACAGTACTAAGACCACATAAGCTTTCAATGATCAATTATAAAAATCCTAAATATAAGTCTAATTGAAAGATCTACTACAATAAATCATTCACATAATTTCTGAATATACAGTATCATTATTGTATCACATACCAGAGATGGACAAAGTCGCACCGCGCCTCCCCGTGCTTCCCCGCGCTGTTGCTCATGCCTACGCTACACTACTCTGAGCTTCGATGAGCGCATGCGTAGAGCATTCTGGTATTCGTTGGGGTTTGAGAAACTGATTGGTAGAGCAAAGAGAAAGAGAGATGTGCGTAGCGCCTAGGCGCGAGCAGTGGCGCGGGGAGGCGCGGTGCGATTTTGTCCATCTCTGTCACATACTTGTATCCTAATGGACTTACTTCAACTTACCAATTCCACACGATGATTATAAATTGACTAACGCTCTCTCTCTCTTATCACACGGGTTGACTTTTAGGGTTACACAAAACCTATCAGAAGCTTGAATTGATACATGATTCTCTGCATCAAAAAATATATACAGAGAAATTTCGCATTCGTTTTGCGATTATATAAAAAGAACACTAGTGCTACTGATTGCCATGAACATCCAATAATTTCGTTGTAATTTGAGCTATCCAGGTCTCATATGCTCATTAATCAATCTGTGATCACCAACAAAAGATTTGAGAAACATTTTTGAATTTTTCATTTCCAATTAGCCTGAACAAAACAAAAAAAAATGGCTATTTCACCTTTTTCGATAACATCATATGAAACGTAATATCTAATGCAAGATAAATCAAAAGAGCCGATAGCATAAACTTAAAATTTATTGAATTTTGTCAATCACATTCTAAAAGTAAGCTTCTATTAGTATCAACAAAGAACTTCGAAAAATATTTTTATTAAAATTATGTACATAAATGAATATTGCTTCATTTTTCTCGACCAAATTCCATTAACATTTCATCATGCTGATTTAACTTATCCTCACATTTCTAGAAAGTGAATTCGATAGCGTCACCAACGGTGAAAATACTTCATCGAACAACGATCCAAATAAGATTCATTCACTTTTTCAACATCAATTTCTTTAAACATAGTAAAACAAAAGATAATCAAAACAAACTCGTTTCTTTTGAATTTATTGTTTCTTATAATTATACATGAACAATGTAAATAATATACATAAAAAAATCATATCATTATGTAAACATCCAAAGTTAATATTAGAACGTGTTCTTCTTCTTAATTATTCATAAATAATATGAATAAAACTATTTGAAAAAAATATTGAATTTTTACAAAGATATAAATATAATTTTTGAATTATTTCTTCATTTTAATTATTCATAGAATATGACAATAAAAATGACTGAAAAAACTATCGAATTTTATAAACATATCGATCGAAATTTTCGAATTTGATCTCTTGATAATTATTCATCAATACTGTGAATAAAGTTCATTGAAAAATAATGAACTTTTAAAAATCTTCATATATAATATTTGAATTATTTATTCTTAATAATTATTCATAAACAATATGAACAAAAATCAATACAAAAAAAAATCGTTAAATTTTACAATTATCAAAATGAAATTTTTGAATTTGCTATTGCTGATGATTATTCAACAGTAATATGAATAAAGATCATCAAAAACTAAATAGATTTCATGAATATTTACATGAAATCTTTGAATTTATTCTTCGTTATAATTATTCATAGATAATATGAATGACGAGTATCAAACAAAACTTTTCTATTTCATAAATATTTCTATGTCACTTTTGAATTTATTCTTGTTGATAATTATTCTTAAATAATATGTGTAAAGAACATTACAAAATCATTAGATTATAGAAATTTCTAGATGAAATTTTTGAATTTTTTATTTATGATAATTATTCATGAATAATGTGAATTAACATCTCTTAAATTATTATTGATGATTTCAAAGATTCACAAGAAATTTATAAATTTATCCTTGATGATAATTATTCAACAATTCTGTCAACAATTATAATTAGAAAAAAAAAATCATTCGCGATATTACAAACAATTTCTTCAAGTTTTTGAATTTGTTTTTCTTAATCCTTATTCATAAATAATGTATATATAAATATATTTGAATATTCATAGGATTTGTGTAAATATGTAGATCGAATTTTTGAATCTCTTATTGATTTTAATTATTCAAAAATGAGATGAACAAAAATAATTGAAAAATTATTTAATTTTAAAGAAAATCATAATGAAACTTATGAATTTATTTATGGTTTTGATCATTCAGAAATAATGTAAATGACGAAGATTAAAAACTAATATGATTTTACATATATATAGGAAAGAAATTTTTGAATTTATTCTTTGTAATGATTATTCAACAATAATCTAAATACAAATTATTGAAAAATTGTATTAATTTTATAAATATTTTGATTGAAATTTTTGAATTTATTGTTGATCTTAATAATTCTTCATATATAATGAAAAATAAAAATTCTCGATCAATTATTAAATTTTACTAATAAATTTATAAAATTTTCGACTTTACTATTACTAATAATTATACAGAAATAATATAAATAAAAATCATTGAAAAATCATTAAGATTTAATAAATTTTCATATGAAATTTTAGAATATCTTCTCTTAATAATTATTCATATATGATATAAATAATGACAATTGAAAAATCATTGAAATTTTAAAATATTTGAATATATATTTTTTGAATTTGTTATTCTTAATAATTATTCATAATAATAATAGAAATAATGATTATTATAAAATTATTAAATTTTACAAATATTCAAATAGATTTTTGAATTTATTCTTCTTAATAATTATTCATAAATAATATTATTAATAATAATTCTAAAATTATTACATCTTACAAATATATCTGAAGAGAATATTTAAATTTGTTATTCATTCTAATCATTCAATAATAATGAAAATAAACATTATTAAAAAATTATAAAGTTTTTACAAATAATGAAATGAAATTTTTTGAATTAATTATTTATAATTATTATTCAATAATAATGTAAATAAAAATAAATAATAAAAT